AATCGCAAAGGGTTGTTTTTTTTCCTTAAAAAAATTTTTTCGGGTTTTTTTTTTTTTTTTTTTTTTTTTTTTTTTCCTGTGCAGTAAAACTCAGCGGCTGTATTTTAAAGCTCACTGCCAGGAGGATGCACCAAGGGATCGTAGAGAGTGCAGAAGAGGTAGCATGGTTTCTTCCCACATGCAGGGGACGCGGGTGGACCGATAATGAAGGAGACTAGTGTCGTCTGGACTTATCTCATCCAGGCATCTGCTCACAATTCAGTACTTGTAGTGGCGTGCCAGCTGGCGGGACGTTTTCCTGATGTAAATTATCCATCCGTTCTAAGGGGTCTGAATACAAGGAGGCCTTTTGTGTGTAGGGACGAATTCCTAACTTGGAGGGGAAAGGGAGGAGTTTCTAAAGATCTAAATAGCATTTGCTTACATTTTTCCAGTCTATCTTTACGGTTTTCAGCATGGTGCATTTCCTGGTGGACCCTGGGATACAGAATTGGGTGATAACCCTGTTGAGGAGGGGCTTTGATTGCCGATGACGTCTGGCAGCTGTGGCCAGCCCGACAACGTGAGCAGGTTGTTGGGGGAAGCATCCCCTGCATCAAATAACGATGAACGTTTCCAATGCCACTGCTGCTGCCTCTGCAGGCACTCAGACTTGCTTGCTTGTTTGAATCTGTAATTGCAGTACTGTCTTGAAGGATTATATGTGTGCTCGCTTACTTTAGAGAATGTTATTACAGGGTTTTCTACATCAGCGTGAATGATCAAAAGGGGCTGGTTATTTTGTCATCTTGTCTCTTGCTGTTCAACAGCTTCATGCCTCAGAAAAGATGCAGTTTTAAAATGTGGGGCTCGTGATTTTGAGCCCTGGATGCATTAAAGGCATGTCAGATTGCACTGGTCATTAATTAGTCGTCTTTCTTCTAACAAATTTTTATAACAAACATCTGGAGTTCTTCCTGCAAAATAGATCTGCCACTTCTCAGTACACAGCGGGAAATATTACCTGATACTTGACACTATCAGACACTTCTAAGCCAAACTGAGATCAAAATAATTACCAGCTTCTAGGAACAGGAGAACAATGACTCTTTGTCTTCCAAATGAAACATTTAAAACTGCCTTTCACCTGGTTATTGCTGTTGCCGTTTCTCTCTGTAATAGCAGTATATATTTATTTAGCCCTCCAAGACTTGAAAGCAACCTAGGCGGCTTATCTTTGCTAGAAAAAGTCTCTGCAACCTTGAAGAGCCCTGCTAGCTGCCAGGCTGCAGAGCACAGCTTTTACATTCAGTATGAACATGGAGGAAACGTGTTTCAACACTGTGTCAGCTGGTCTTGGGTAAACTCTATTGTTCCAGCAGTATTTACCCACGGCAAGCTGATACTGCGCTAGCACACAGCCGCGCTGTGTGCATTAACTGCATTCCTGTTCAATGCCATTAACAGGATTTCTCAAATAGTTACGCTGCCAGCTGAAATAAATGTCTTTTCACCTGGGTTGCTCGGTTGGGAGGGTTTTGAATGTGTTTTCTTTGGCCCGTGGTGTAAAACTGAAGATGAAAAAGGGAGGGTCCTTTCCATTTTAGCACAAGGGATTTGTATGGAAAATGCTTTCGCGCTGCCCAGAGTGCAGTTTGCATGTGTTGTGCCTTTAGCTGAGCTGGAATTTTTGCAAGGAGCTGTAGGAGACCTTGTTGGGGAACAGGGACTGTAATCCAGTTACAGTGGAGAGGAAAAATATTTTTTTATGGGGACGTGTGGGCTGTGACCTGGCCTTTCTGCTAGAGCAGAAAGCTCTGTGTGTGTGTGTGTAGTCGGAGCACACGCCTGGCCCCCTCTTCATTCCCAGGATTCTTTCGAAGCGTTTCCTCCCTGAAGTCATCTTGATGAAGCCTGAGCACAGGGTTTTTCCTTCACGCTAGAGGAATGCAGTACTAGTGGAAGAAAACTGACCCACGTGAAAGTAGCAGGGTATTCTTGACAATTCAGTTGACACAATTTAATTGAATGATCTTCATGCTGTTGGCTCTGACTTTTTTTCCCTCTTGACTCATGGAATGGTGGCTCTTGCCTGGTGTCTTTACTGTTTTCACTGGTGATGAAAATTACCCAAAGAAGTCTCACCAGGGCAGTGACTTTCAGCCTCATATTTTGTTTTACTTCAGTGTGTGAGCTCAAAGAAAACTTCCTCATGAAGCTGATGATGACAGTTTTATTAGTGATAAAACCGTGATAGTAGGTCTGGTTTTAGTTGCTGTTCATCCAAGGTGTCGGTGAAGTTCTTGGACTGGCGAGTTGCAGGTCAACACATATACTAGGGTCTTCCTGCGGAAGAGCAAGGAGGCATTTGCTTCTGGGACTCCTTGCCTTTATCTGGAAAAGATGGGGAGTATATCCTGGGTTTGTTTACCATGGGCCTGGAAAAGGTATTTGTGCATGTCTGGTCTATTGGCTTGTGTCTGGTGCGCTCACCTTGAGTTTCTGTGTGTGCATGCTCTTCACCTCTGAAGCATGCTTTGCCTTCAGTGAGGAGCTCTCTTCTTGAGAAGAGACCACGTATCAGGAGAAATGGGAAACCTGGAAGAGACTGATTTGTATACCTGATGGCTGCTTCTTGCATTGAGATTCATATGAAAAATACTTCCAAATAAATGGAAACAGGATTAATCATCTCTTGTATTGGGCAGCAAGGAGAGGGTAGGCCTAAGCTGCATTACAATGTTAAGTGTTGAACCTTCGGAGTTTCTAGCCCTTGTGGAAGCAGTTTGGCATTAATAGTGTGATTCCTTCTCACTTGTGTTCTGTGTGTAAGAAGATCTTGTTAAATAACTTGACCCCAAACCAAAAGTGACCTAGTATTGAGTAAGAGCTGCAGACTGTGAGTGTCTGGCTTCCAGTCTTGTGCTTAGGTCATCTGTAACCTCACACATGATGTAACAGTAAAGGGTATTTTGTGGGAAGTATTGGGAGGGTTGTATCTGTACAATGCCCCAGCTGTCTTGCATGTCACGCAGATAGTACTTTTTGGTAGGTTAAGGTATCAGCAGATTTCTTTGGCTTTAAACACAAGATTGGTCTTTTTTTATCCTTGGGACATGCAGGTGTAAGGTTTTTTTCTGGTGCCGCATGTCTTGATTTTTACTTCAGTTTTTTTCTGGTATGTTGATTTCTGGACCCTTTGCCATGCTTCTCCTGCTACTTTGGTGTTTCCAGCAGCCAGAAAGGACAGAGGTTCCTCCCTTGCGCCGTCTGGGCTCTGGGCATGATGTGCCTAATGCAGGTGTAACTGGTGGGTGGCCTGTGAGTGAGAACTGTGGTTCATGACCTGATTTTGCAATCAGGTTTTGCATGTGTGCTTTGAGAGGCACGCTGTTCTTGTTGCCTGGTGCCGCCTGGTCTGCTCTAACTTGTGAAGTGAGCCACTCTTCAGCAGGTGCAAAGCCTTGTGTTAAAATTTAACACGGTGGAGTTAATTAATTTTACAAGTTGAGATTAAATCCGCATGACTTCTACAGGTGGAAAAAACCTGTTTCTCAATCACTTGAAACTCTTCTAGTAACTTTTTTCTTTTTGTTTTGTTCAGTGAAGGGACCAGTGATGGCTGCAGCCTCTGCTTAGAGCAGTGTTTTCCTTGGAGGTGGTGGGAGCGTAAAAGAGTATGGCAGGGACTAAACGCCCGAGGTTTTGTTCCAGACAAAGCTCACGTTGTTTTAGCAAGTTCCGTACGTGCACCAGGGTGCTTGCCGAAGTGGAGCAAGAACAGCCGGCACGCAGCTGTACGCCGCCTCCTGGCAACGTGCCCCTCGGCTGGTGGGGGCGGCGCAGGAAGGTGGCTGAAGTGTGCTGCGGTCCTTTTCCACTAATGGTTTTTGTCGGGGGTGTGAATCCCCTGGGTGGTTGGTTTATGTGCACAGGGGTAGATGCTCAAGTCATTGGAGAAGAATCCATGAAGGAGGATGATCTGCTGATTGCCACAGACCTGTTAGGAGATGAGTAGAGGGCAGGGAGGTGGGTTTACATTTATCCTCTTACAAGAGGGAGAACATGGCTAGCTTGTAAATCATTGCACACAGATCTGCAAAGTGTCTTGGCAACTTTAATCATATGGTCTGGGAAACTTAAACCTTGTTTTATCTTTCCCAGGGAATGAGTAAAAGAGGGTGTACTCAGTAGTTCACTGCTGAAGGAAAGGCTTCATGAGTAGTAGAAAGAGTTTGGGATATTGTCTATTTAGGGAGGAAGTAGAGGTACAAAACAGGCTCTACAGTGTGACCCTTACCTCTCTGGTTAATACTGTTTCTCCCATACATGTATTTAGAAGAAGTATTATCAAATGTCATGGTTAACTTGGACCTGGGCTTAGAGACACGCAGTGTGTTTGTGGCTCTGATGTAATACATCATCTGTTGGGGTAAGGACACTGTTGGAGAGAGAAAATTGTTGCAGGAGAAAATTGCAGCTTGAGATGTGTGTTTGGTTGCACAGAAGTTTATAGGTCTGTTTGTTTATCTACTTAGCCTGCCCTTGACTTCTGCCTTTGGTTCCTTCACCTTGTCTTTGCCGGGAGATGCAGTACATAGGGCTGGAGGAGGTACTTCTGGTGCTACTGGACATTGTTCATCCTTCTGGATGGTACTAGAGGAGATGTTTCTTCTTGAGAGAACTGTAGTGCAGCTCTTCCCATTCTTTTTGTTTGAAGTTGAGTCTTTCTCATGTCTGTCTTCTCTCATCCGCAGGAAAGGCCTTTGACATCACGTATGTGCGTCTGAAGTTTCACACCAGTCGGCCGGAGAGCTTTGCGATCTACAAACGCACCAGGGAAGATGGTCCGTGGGTGCCCTACCAGTATTACAGTGGCTCCTGTGAGAGCACGTATCACAAAGTCAATCGGGGCTTTATTCGGACTGGAGAGGATGAGCAGCAGGCGCTCTGCACGGACGAGTTCAGTGACATCTCCCCTCTCACTGGGGGCAACGTGGCGTTTTCAACACTGGAGGGGCGTCCCAGTGCCTATAACTTTGACAACAGCCCTGTGCTACAGGTATGTGAACAGGACTAAGTCAATTGGGTGGCCTGAGTTGAGTCTGTTTAGTTGTTGTGGATGGTGGCTTTGTGCCGACTGGGGGCTGCACTACAGCCCTTACTCATGCTGAAAGGCCCCTGCACAGCTAAGTTGGCATGGACAATCCAAAGAGGTGCTTTTGAAGGAAGAGTTGAACTCTTGACTATTTTTAGTAAGTTTATGGTAGAAAAAGCAGAATTGGTGGCATTAAGGATGATGTGTCATTAGGCATCATGGAAGTCTTTTTAGGATGGATGCAAATCTCTGCCTGCTTAGAAAGCAGGTGTGGGCATTTTGCTGTTGTTTCAGATACAAGGGCAGAGGAAGGTAAAGCCTAAGTCAAATGAATCTTTGAGGCATCTGCATTTATATTGTGAAAGCAAAAATTTAAGAAATGTGAGATTCTTCTAAACAAATAAAGGGTTATTGGAAACCCTAACCTCTTCTTTTACATGTGTGTTGGGGTGAGGGAGCTTGATTTTATCCACAGTATTTAGTTTCTCTTACAAGCAGCTTGGGGAGAGGGTTTGGTCAAGGGGTTTTCTTTTTTTTGTTGCTACCATTCACAACACTGGTTGGGCAGTGGTCAGGAGCATACTGGGAACACCAGTTTGTCCAGTTTACTTACCATTTTCTGTATGCTGCTTGATGACCTCTCCAGCTTATATTGCAACAAGGAGCTAAAGCTGTGGGGTTTGCCCCATCGGGGCTCGTCTCCTTCCTTTCGGAGCTGTGATTGCCACTTCTTCCCTTTCCTCTTTGAGCAGCAGGAGCAGACTGAGACATGATCACCAGCCAGTGGGCAGGAAAGCAGAATCTGGTGGTGCTTGCTTCTGCAAACAAAAATAAAGATTAATGGGAAAGGAGGAACTCCTGAAATGGAAAAGAACCAGTTTGGCTGCCTTGTTGGTGTAGCTAGTCCTTGGAGAGAACAGGGTCTAATTGTTAAGGGGAGCGGAGAGATTTCAAGTTAGCGATACGGCATATAATTTTCTGATAAACTCCTCTATGTAAGGAATAGAGACCTGACTGCCAGTTTCCCAAAATACGTACAAACCTCTGGTGTTGCTTTTCAGAACTGAAGTAAGTGTCTTTTTGGGCTCAGCATTTTCATGTGTTTATGCCAGTGTTTGTAATTCAGCAAATCTTCTTATTGTACTGGCTAAGCAGCAATGCAGCTGCAGTGCAATTGTACATACAAGGATGTTTTTATTGTTTCTGTGGTGTCGGAAGGAAAATGGCATTGCAAAAGCTGTAATAAAAACAAGGAGGTACTAATGACAGTCCCTGTCTGAAGGTGATGTGAAATTTGGGGACAGACTACATTTGCTGGCTGTTGCTGGAGGAGGGTAGGGTAGTGTGTTGAAGATGCTGTGTAAATATTATGAAAAGCTCTTGTGTTGTAAGTCAGATCTGCCTGTCTGTTTTTCTTCCTCAGCCTCCCCCAGCCTCATTCATCTGTCTGTGTTTTTTTGTTTGGTGGAATATGTCTGCAGACAAGTGCGCCCTAAAGCTTTTCCCATTGGTGCTGTATAACTTTGCAGGAAAACTGCAGTCAGATAGATACGTACAATTAGCAAGGTAGCATAATTGCCTGCACTGCACTTTTTGCTGGAGAGGTTACCCACTGCTTCGCAGCTGAGAGCAGTCAAGATGCGAAGAGGCATTGGAAAGGGTATCCAGGGAGGAGCAGGGTCTGGAAAATACATTCGATCCGAGAGGATGCGGTGTAAGGCTTCTCGGGCAGGGACATGTGAGCTTCCGAGGTGCAGAAGGGAAAATGATGAGGAAGGAACTTGCTGAGTGATGAATGACTTTGTAAATACAATGGCTCAAGACACAGTACTGGTATGCTCTTGAGGGGGATGTCTGATGTTTAATCTGATGGGATTTCTGTCTGCTCTAGGAATGGGTGACGGCTACAGATATTAGAGTGACCCTCAATCGTCTGAACACATTTGGAGATGAAGTTTTCAATGACCCAAAAGTCCTCAAGTCTTATTACTATGCAATTTCTGATTTTGCTGTGGGTGGTAGGTGAGTAGACAATAAACCTCTGTACTTATTTAAAGCTCTTGGTCAGGATTGCTAGAGTGGTTTAAAGATTTTGATTATACTCACATGGTACCATTAGGCTCTGGTCTTTATTGACTGTCCTAAACCAAAAATGCAGTGAATATTACGAAGCTTGCAAATACTGTGTATAACCTCTTGTGGCTATAATTTCAGGGCAGAGAGAGATCAAATTTTTTTTTTCCTTGATTAGATCAAATGTTAAGTGATTTGGGAGGGCAGAGGGTGAAAAGAGTGACAAAAAGGTAAAACAAAAAAAAGCACAACTTTTTTTTTTTTTTTACCCTGCACTCTGTGTGGTTTTTAATGCGTTATTAATTGTTTTCTGCCTATATCTGTAGCTAGAATAACAGCAAGTAGAAAATCTCAGTGTCTACTTCACATATATTTTGGGAACTATCTCCTATGAAGATCTGAAGCATTGTACCATACCGTGGTTGTCCATTCCTTTTGCCAAAGTGTATTGCAGAATGCTTAAATCTTAAGTTGTTGACGATAAAATGTTTTCATGAACAGAGCTGAGACCAGTGCAGTGTTTTGGACTGTTTGCAGAGAGCAGTCCTGAGACTGGGATTTGACAACATGGGGATTTGCATTGGCTGCACCACCAGTCTGTGGAGGTCCCTGGGCTTCTGTATTAGTCACCTTTGTGCTATTTAATTTCTTAGTGATACGAGTACACAGCCAGCATGCATCCCCTTTCCTGGACTCTCATGAGAGAGAAGCTATGGAGAACATACTAACCTAAAGCCAACAAAATCTTTGCTTCTCCTACTCGGCTTATTCTGTTATAGTGACAGACTGTGAAGAAGTTGATTAACATTCTTGTGTTTCTAAATGCCTACCTTAAGCATGCTAAACCTATTTGTTTCATAGAATGGAAGGGACCTTCAAAGATCATCCATTCCTTCCCCCCACCCCAGCCAGGGACTTCTTTCACTAGATCAGGTTGCTCAAAGCCCCATCCAACCTGACCTTCAACACTTCCAATTATGGGGCATCCACAACTTCTCTGGGCAACCTGTTCCAGTGTCTCACCACTCTTAATTGTAAAACTTCCCTGTCTTATGTTCAATCTAAACATACCCTCTTTCAGTTTAAAATCATTGTCCCTTGTCCTGTCACTACAGGCCCTGGTAAAAAGTCTCCATCTTTCTTGTAAACCCCCTTTAGATATTGAAAGACCTCAATAAGGTCTCCCTGGAGCCTCCTCTTCTCCAAGCTGAACAATAGCAGTTTTGTTCTCAATTTTATTGTGACCATCTACCTTTGAATTTGTCTCGTCTCAGATTTTCAGATCTGGGCTTTGTTTTTTGTGATTGCTCTGTGAGTGACCTGGATCCCTGGAGTTTAAATACCTGTTCCTTGTCTCTCATTAACCAGATGCAAATGTAACGGGCACGCGAGTGAGTGCGTGAAGAATGAGCTTGGGAAGCTGGTCTGCAACTGCAAACACAACACCTTTGGGGTCGACTGTGAAAAATGTCTTCCTTTCTTCAATGACCGTCCATGGAGGAGAGCGACAGCAGAGAGTGCCAATGAATGCTTGCGTACGTGTGACCACGCTTGAGGGGGAAATCTCTCAGGGGTTAGGTCCCTGCCTCTGTTGGCGTCCAGAAGCTGGCCCTGCATGGTTTTAAGTTATGTCAGTTGCAGTTAGCCAGTGTTAAACACAGTTCTGGTGTCTTTCAGTTTGTGGGACTGCTGGTCATTCCAGTCCTGTCCTGTTAGGAGTTTTCTGGTAGATCCGTAGAAAGGGGCATCTCCTTTCTGGAAAAGGATGGCAGTGACCTTTAGGAAAGAGGTGTGCTGCAAAAACATACAGGCTTGTACTTTGAGACCCATAGAAAAAAAAATCTGTAATTAGTATGCTGGAGTATAATTGCCCTTTAAAAAGCTCCTCATTTAGCATCCGCTGACTTCCTCTTGTATTTGGGTTATTGGTTTTTACAGTGCCTTGTAGACTATTTCATCCAGTTTTGAGGCTGTTGCAACAGTTCCGGACCGCAAATGCGGATCTCTGTGATGGAATGCCAGTTTGTTTTGCTTGGTTTTGTGTTGCACACCACAGCTCCTGGTAGTTTACTTTATGGGGAAGCTTTTTCAGACAGAAAAGCTTTCTTCTTGTCTGACCTCTGTGTGTGTTGATCGATCCCAGCTGCCTGGTAAAGACCTGTGGCTTCCCTTGACAGGCCGGTGAAACCC